CAATACGTCAGGTTGCATTCTCAAGGGAAGTGCATAGGCAGATAGACGGTATGGCGATGGGTAGCCCACTAGGCCCATAGTTAGCAGACGTGTTTATAAGCACGGTTGAAGAAAAGACAGATAACAACAGAAAACGGCGACTGTGTATAATAGATGATATATAGATAATCATGGATTCGGATGTGGACATCGCATCTGCGACCGAGACAGCTAACAGAATGCATCAGAATCTTACAAGAACGTAACGATGAGCAAGACAACTGTCCCTCAATACCTAGATGTACTGATTACACGGCAGTCAGATGGATTTAGCAGAATACATGTCCACAGAAGGCCAACCTGAACTGTTCGGTATTCGCATTGTAGGGGTTCCTTCATTATGGAAAACAAATGCTCTCGTCAGCACACTGTTTTATCAGGCTAATATGATCTGCACTCCAGATACTATAGAAGCAGAGGGACTTGTTGTTTGATACGCCGCAATCCAACGGTTATCCGTGGTAGTTAATTAAGCGCGTCGGTGAAACAAACAAGTGATATCGTGCGCCAACAGTCCCAAAGAAGCCAATGGTCATCGAGCAGTCTTTCAGTTGTGAGCATATTATGAAGGTTACCGAGAAACGAATAAGTGCTTCACTAAAATAAGCGTGCAATGCGGTAGAGGTGAGGCTGCTCACGTCGGCGAGACCTACACTTGCGTTTTCGATTAAAACACCGACGACAAGGCGGTGCATGTCCTACTGTCTATATAAATTCCCCCGTAGCTTTGGAGACAAATACGTTGGGTGTACTGATCGAAGTTTAGGTGTCAGAATCAATGAACATATTTCCAAGTGGTTAACCAGCTGGATGGAATCTATGACAACCGATTTGGTTGAATCGGAAAAATCAAGCTGCATCGGCAGTCACATGGCATTTGGTGACCACCGGTCACCGAATCATTCACAATTCCGGTGTCTTGACGACGAGGAACTGTAGATAGCATGTCAATTCGCCAATCACAGTAACAGCATTACTTGCGACGAGTGCATGATTGCAAATAACTTCATAAACAAATTTGATCTGATCACGAAGAGGAAGTTAACCGGGTACGTTACTGTCTGTGACGCCGATTGCATGGAGGGCAGCTGCGAAATGAAGCTAGGCAAATGTGGCGTCCAACCGCATGGTAAAGACAAGTTCCAATTTTTGCAATCATGCTCATGTAACGACCTGTGATGTTGAACAACCGAGAACTTACGTGGTCCGCACTGCAAGATACTACACATTTCGACACTTATGTTTCGGGGTTTCTATACTTTGTGGAACTCCTCAAGTGTATGATACTTGTACATTCCAGTCACCCTCGGTATAACACACGCATGAATCGATTAGGAGTGCTTCCACCCGAGCTATATTAACTTGAACCCCTAAGTTCGTAGTTTGCCAGGACACTTACACAACTTTGCTAATTTGCGATAGTTGAAAACGCATATGATTAGAACATGTATTAAGAAAACCAGAAACATCCTTGAATCTGGGAAATGTGTGGTATCAGATCTAGGCTTACTCGGCTAGGGGAGATTGTGTATACAAGAGTGCGATGAGACCTATTCTTTCCTATGGGTGTGGGATTTGCCCTCTTTCCTCTGAGGTGTCTTAGACTCCATGACCATCCATGACCGAAAAGCACTGACGGTGTCGGTTGCACTAATGCATTCCCAAAAAAGACGCTCGCAAGCGAGTGAGAAGCAGATTAGTTTCCTAGAGCAACCAAGCACATCCCATTCCCACTTCAAACTAACGTTATGCAGTAGTGCATTTAACTTGGTGGAGACTTGAAATAACGATTTACTTATTCTATGATCCATCAAATTTTAATTTTTACTCCAACCATCCGGGACTTGTCAAGCACATGCCTTTTTACCCGTGATAAACCATTGTTCATGAATGCGTTGACTTGTGCCCTTGCTATGTATACCTTGTCCTACCGTCGGGTGCGAGTCGACCTCATTATGACCTACCGAATTCTACATCTCGGTGAGTTCCCCATGTTAAGGCCAATGCTGCACTTACGAGGGCCATGCAGCACACGCGGACACAGATACAAACTTGTTGTGCCGGATATGAAACGTGTTCCCCACCCACTGTGCTTCGAACGGAGAGTGGTAAACATTTGGAATAGTTTGCCCGAACATGTGATTGAGGCAACATCTGTGCAACAGTTCAAAACGTTGTTAGATTTGCATTTTGCCTCTATTCGATTCAGAGAACGACTGCACACTTATGATGACATCACATTTGTGAATCCTGAAATATCGTAAGTCGAATATTTTAAATATTACATGAGAACGACAATGATATTCAAGGTTGACAACTTTTATAACGTTTTTCGCCATATCTCGAAAGAGTTGTACAGAATCCATTTCTACTTGCCCTATAATACAATATTCAGTAATCAGTATTGTCTGCCATATATGGAGTGATTGAAAGATCGAGGGAACAAACTTGACTTGATAACAGAAAACAGCAGCTGACGACTAATTTAGGTGCTATCAAACCGGCCTGCCATCCATACGAGAGACTAGAGAGACTAAATGAAATGGCTCGCAGCTAGCACCAGTAGTGTTCGCAGCCGTATTCTAGTTGAATTGTCTATTTATAGTGTATCTGATACTAAGTTTTCTGTGGAATGATACTTGTTGGAACACAGATAGTGGCAACCGCAAGGAAGCTGTTTCGCCAGCATCGCTTTATATTCACAACAGATGATATGTAGACACCTTATTCCTGGTATCAGTTGCCTCCAAGCTGTTGGTATGCATCATGTTGCGCAGGTTGTCGCCAAGTTGCGAGGCGCACTATCGGGAGGAGCAGGCTGATTTACGCTTTCTCAGCTCCTTGAACATCGCCACATATATCACGAACCCACTATCGTCATCTTCCTGGACATTCGCGCTGCATTTGACTTTGCAGAGCGACTTGCCATTAGTAAAAGAACGGAGTCACTGAAAAGTACGTCGCTACTCTTCGAGCGTTATATCTCCACACCTCGCGCAAAGAGCTTACGGTAAGCTCTCCGCAGCCATCCCTGTCACTAGTGGTGTGCGACAAGGATACCCTAGGTCTCTAATTATTTCCAATTTCGCGATTGAAGATGTCCTGTTGGGAGCTCTGGAGGGCATCCAGAATTCTGAGATTGAGCTCATTCCATGTAATCGCGCAGCCGACTTAGATTACGCTGATGATATCGTCTTGCTCGGAGACGACCTTTATAGGATGCAACTGATCCCTGACGGACTAGTGACTTAAGCGTCCAAGTGCTTTGCATCATTGATTCTGCTCTTCATCAGCTCACCATCGAAAACATTTGGGTTGAGCAGGTGAAACGCTTTATTTACCTTGGGAACAGAAGCTCTACCGATGGAATCATTGGAGAACGGCGATTGGTAGTAACGAAAGGTGTGACAGTGATAAAACAACCAGCGCACGCATTGAGGGGATACTAATCAGAATATGAGTGGATTCAACTTCGACAATGCAAATGGACATTTGCACGAATAAAAGAAATCAGTGGTGCCTCTCGAGTAGGCATGTGCCACACTTCTTTCGAAGTAACGGTAATGGGCATGCAGACATGGTAATCTGCGGTCGATCACACGAAATCGAAAGTTGCAATAAGTAGCCATGGATCAAGCAGGGATCGAAAAAGGTGAAAAAGCTGATAAAATCGGTTTAAGCAGTTACCAATTTGGGCGGATATCAGCCTCAACAGAGGATAAAGCATCACACAGAGATAGTGGTTACTTGTTATAGCACGAAATCGCGGAGAAGATGAACCTAAATCCTTCTGACACATGAGCAAATGTTATTCACTGGCTCTTGATTATGACTGACAGTCGTCAAGTAGATTACGCGTAAACATGATCCGACAGGGACTAAAGAAGCCTGTACACTGCGGAGTGGGGGCAGCAAGCGAAACTTTGATATCCTACAAGGATGTTGAACCTTAACAAATTTGTAGGACATTTGGCAAAATACAACACTACAGAAAACCCGGGTATGGAAAAATAGACGCATCTGGTGAAAACACACCTTGATTGTCAACGGCAGATTCCAGCTGGTGTCGCAGTTGCCAAGGATAAGTTCTAATAGTGCGGCCACTGCTAAGCAGCTTCAACCTCTAGCCTAATTGTTGCAATGGCGTGCGAATCTTGATATAATAATAATAATAATAATAATATAAATAATGTGTCAGCTGTACGCCGTAACGGCGCTTCGCTGCCGCTCGACCACTACCAGTCGCGCGCGGGCTGAGTATACCGCGAGGACGTCCACCCCTGCGCGGATTCGAACCGGTGACCTTATGGTTGCAAACCAAACGTGCAGACCACTCGGCCACCGGCCGATGTTTGCATACGTTCGATCTGTTGCGCTACACTAGATATAAGTCTTGAGGCAGCCGGAGAATAGTTTCAACAGAGCTGGATTGAAATTAGAGCGGAAGGTGTAGTAAGCGTGCGGTCCGGGATGCAGAGTTATTCCGTGTCCAATACCTAAAGGTCATAACAGACCTGTAGAGCCGGATAGCAAAAAATACCCCGTGGGCGGTTGGATGTCGCCATCACAACCACTTAGTGAGCAGTCGGAGTATCATACCATTTGGCAAACAAATAGTGAGGCAACAAGGAGATAGAGAGAACCTAGACCAGAATGCCGGGAACAGGGCCAGAAGTTAAGGATATAAACAATAACATGCGTTAGTGCTCGTCAATATCTGGTATCGTCGTTGGTCCATGTAAATGAGTAGCGCCATTAGTCCGATAGGTCATACTAGAGGCAATTATACGAAAATTTGCAGATCTGTCACAATACGCATATTCGTGCACCTTAACCAAATTCCCACTGAGTTGTTGGTAAGCTTTAGAGTATAAGTATTGATGTAACGCGACGGTTGATGTGGATGATTGAAGCCCGAAACTGGCACAATGACCGTTGTAGACAAGATGAAGAGGTGACCTGTCAAGTAGTCACGATGTAGCAGTTTAAAATAGCAAAAACTGACAAGAATAGGCATCCACTAAAAAAAGTGAAAGTTTTCAATCGCATACGTATACTCACGAGACCTGATTTCTTCTGGTTGAAGCAAGAAGTACAAGCATTCAACTTCGGCGAACCGCAGTTGTTTCGCCAAAGCGAAGCAGTGTATACAGAACGAAAACAGTATCGTCAGAGAAACTCCAGCGAAAAGCTGACGAATAAAAAAGAGGGGACGCGTAGATCAGTCGGAAAAACAAACAAACATCGACCACTCAACAGCAAGGGACAAAGACAGCTTCGAAAGAATGTAAGCTATGCGATCGAAACTAGAGAATGGTTGCAAGATCTGACTTGCATGGTCAGACAATACATCGCGAAAACTACTGATACAAGGGTGTGCGAAAAAATAGGGGGTTGAAGCACATCTATAAGGTTGTACGAATGAGCCGAGGTGAATGACGGTATTTCTCGAGTACCGGTGAGGTGGATGAGCTAACTGAAGTTGGACCGGGGAGAATTCATTGAATCGTTGCAGATTTGGACCAGCGGAAGAGAATATAACCTGCGACAAAAGTGGACGTTATGGCCAGGGTGTTGTGCAGCAATTTGCGCCGGTAGTCGTCTCGATGAACAAGGACCACGGGGAGAAGTGGAGGACCATTAGGATGGTGTCGGTTCTTGGAGATGACAGGACGCGAACGGGATTTTCCGTTTTGTGCTACCAGATGGCTGAGCGCAGATGATCCGTTGGAGCTGTTGCCGTTGCTATCTAGACCTGCAGGAAAGGATTGGTCGAGATGAGTGGGGGATAGTTTATCTCCACCGCAAGTCGCAGCCGAAGTTAAGCCCCGAGGCAATGATGCCAGAGAGGAGACAACTTGGTATTTGCAACAGGGATCCCATTGCCAAAAAAGAGCATAAGAGCCAGCAGTGGTGACGCTGAGTGCACTGAACACAGCGGTGCTCAAGCGAAGGAAGTGGGGAACAAAGGTGACTAAGATGGACTCAGCATCTTCTCCTCCCACCCAGCGGCCATCGAATGTAGAGAGAAGGATGGGAGAACCGTAGAAATTCCACAAGACACCGGCGCCAGCGGTTGTCAATGCAGCCACCCCTGTGGAGGACATCAAGTAACATGGATGGTGTGAGACGTCAGATATGCCCGTAACAAATGACAGTACGATCAAAACAAAGGGGAGTGAAAATAGTAGCACGTCTTTTGTGATCAATGTGGATGTGCAACCGAAAGGCAAATAAACGCACCAAGACGACGGTTTGCAATCCAACAAGGAAGAAAGGGGGCAGCAAGTTGCTAGGGCGTTCATCAGTAAGAATAATAAATGCAAGTAATTTGACAGGATTGAAGCGACTAGGCAGAGCTTTTAAGAGGGGGTAAAGTATTGGTATTAGGTTGTTTCAAAATCAATTGAACCTTTCTTTGATGTAATTCCAGAATTTTCCGGAAATGTCCCGTAGTTCCGTTACTAGGGGTACATAAGGGGATAGACTAGAACATCTTACATTGCGCTAGTGGCAAAGGATCAACATGCTGTTCGTGGATGCTTGCTGTACGAGTTCCTAGGAAGACGCAAAACGGTCGATGCTTGTCGAAATCTGCGGGAGGTACTAGGCACGGATGCTCTAAGTTACGATATGGCAGCATATTGATTCCGTCGATTCAAAGTAGGGAACTATCAATTTTCAAGCAACAAAGGTCAGTGGGCTTAGTCAGCAACATCCAGTATGCTCTAAAGGAGGATTCGAGACAAAGTGAGCGTGAAGTTTCGTCACACCTTTGCCTTCCAGTAACCATCCTTCATCACCATCTGCGCCAATCCAGAATGGTCTCAAAGCTCGGACAAATTGTGTCACACGAATCGACAGGGGAACATCGATGGCTGAACGATGTCGGCACTGGAGATGAGAAGTGGGTGTTCCATGTCAGCAAGGGCAAAATGCGCTAGTGGATCGCAGAAGATGGAACACCAGTATAATTTCAGAAAGGCGAACTACACGGTAAAAAAGAGTGATGCTGTCGGTCTGGTGGAATCGCCGCGGCATCATCTACTGAAAAAGGTTACCTGCCAAGTTTACAGTGATTGCCGATGTCTGTTAATAACACCGAAAAATGTGTCCATGAGCGGCATGAATTCTTCTCCTGCATGATCACGCTCGTCCTCATATAGTAAAGGTGACGCGTCTCAAGATTCAGCAGTCCGGTATCGATGCTCTATTGCACCTAGCATATAGTCCAGACAATGTTGCTACTGGATACCGAAACTTCCGCTCGCTCCACAAACACATCAAGGAGAAGAAATTCTATGACCGCGACCATATTACACTGCCCAATACTTTGACAGCCAGCTCAACCCATTCTATGAGAGAGGTATCGACAGTTTTCCTAAGCGTTGGAAATACGTAGTCGATAAAGATAGACGTGACATTGATTAAATATGACCGCTTGTCTAAAGTAAATATTGATCGAAAATGTGGTGAAAAGTTCGATTGATTCCGGGACGACCTAATATCCCTCAACAATTCTGCAACAACTGGGACGGAATTAAGAAGAAATAGTATCGGGGTTATATATCACATTTGCAGAAAATACAGAAAGCTACTTGTTTGGTAGTGAACGAATTGACAGGTGTCATAGGGGCATGTGCTAATCGGTACCATCACCCGTTAAGCTACGCATATCACTCTGCGGAAAGCGTATGATGTTCACGGAAGTTTGCGTTTCTATATTCAGTCAACATGAAAACATGAGGAGTGACTGGGTGTGACTGAACACGGAACACACATACTTTCAATCAAATAGCTGTCAATTCCCTGGAAAATCTGAGCAGTATATTGTACCGGTTGGAAGAGCAAGCACGAGTAATGAAAAGTGGATTACATGAAGGAAACCATAAAAAATACCAACCAAACTCAATGCACAGTGCAGAGAGCGAATACTCCGCCGCACAGCGGTGATTAAAAGGCAGTTGAGATGAAACTGAGGCAATTCCATGCTAGATTCTAGTTAAATCCGTGATGGTAATCAATCAAAATAAGAGTCAAATCAAGTTGTCTTCGGTGCCGAAGAATGGGCTAGCAGCATGATTCAGGGTGTCATGTCACTATGCTGATCACGAAGGATGTAGTGCTGTGGAAAAGCCGTTCCCAAAAACTAGCCTAATTTCAATTGACGTAGGTGTTTCCACCGTCCAATTTTTACATTATAACTAGTGTTGATTAGGCGCCCCATCCTCGCTTATACGAAAGCGGATGTTGCATCCAAGAGACACTCTGCCACTTCGCTTCCTTTCATTCATGAAGGCTTGTCAAGTTCATGGAACATAGCCCTGGTTTGCCTACTGCCCGCCAGCGGAAGCTCTGCCATTCATTGATCATTACCAGAGGAGTATCGCGTTGCACCATAGGAAACGAAACTGGATCGGATCAAGTCGCAATATGCAGAGAACAAAGAAACCGTGGGGATTGTGAAAGAAACATTAACAAGTGAGGCGATGCAGGTTAATTTGCTCGCAGAACAGGGCAATTAAAGCGGTAAACGGACAGTGGAGAAACAAATCTCCGCATAGAAAATATCCCGACAGTTACCCGGATTCCATCGCGAATCTGGATCAACAGGTCGCTGATGATTCAAGCGCGTCCAGCGGTTGCTACCGTGACTTGCGTGTAGCGTTTACTAAGGTTTGCACTCTGCTTTACAAATGCGACGAGCTGTGCTGTTTCGTAACTTCGTCAGAAATCAGCCGCTACTCTGGTTTCCGTTGTGATAGACCATCAAATGACAGCGGTGGCGTACTGCTATACATAAGGTCTTCCTTGTGTGCGACACTCATGAGTAGCTGTCAAAATGCCGGTGGTTTACGTGAGCAGTTATGGTGTTCGTTTCATCTCAGACGCAGTGAGCCGCTCGTGGGTGTGGACTATCGCAGTCCACTGAGACGCTCCCCGGACTGGTTGCCGCATGTCCGTAACCACATGAATTGGCCACAGTTACTACTCGGAGTCCAACGTGGTGTTCCCATTAGCGTGCGATAGTCTTTCGGCAAACCTGAGTGAAACAGCCGTAGGTAAGATAGCAGATCGTTTACAGGAGAGGCAGTAATGCGGAATCGCACTATCCACTGACATAGGGGCAACTTCAGTGCTTCGAAACTCTAGTACTGCCTATTGCTCTGGAAGATTACACCGATGTCTTCTAGTGACGACAACAACTGATCATCTGAAAGCAGCCTTTAACGTAGGGATGCATACTTTCAGGCAATGACTGAGCAAAGTCCAATGTGTCCATCAACACACGTTAGCTAAGGGTGAGAAACACGCCTCAGCTAATGTGCCGTCTAATTTCTGGTCAGACCGTGCGTATAGTATAGATTCACTAGCTTACAGTTTACCTATCCAGTCTCGTGTGACTACTTAGTCTGGCTTCGTATAGTCGCTACATAGACAATTTCAACCTACCTCGAATACAGCGGCCTGAGGTCGAACTTCTCCCCGTACATTGTGAGATCGAGAGGAAGTTCGCGGAGATGATGTTTGAAACTGGAGCTATACAGCATATCAATCAGCCGAAGCAATTAACCGCGAGCTCGACTCCTGCTATTGACTAGCTGTGATCAACGTGCGCATGACATCCAGGTCCTAGAGCCTGAGATTGAGTGACCTCTCGATGATCACAGCCCGCTTGGAGCTACCACTGTCGCATTCTCCTCCGCTGGAGACAGTTTTCAACTACTGGGAGGTGGACTTTCATGGCCTCAATCTTGCCGCAAGCCAGATGGGTTGGTCGTTACCAGTTCATCTATTATGAAGCAGAGTAAAGTCGTTGTGCACTCGATTTGTACCGCTCAAGTATCAGAAAGCTAGACCTGTCAAGACACACGGGTTCGACAAAGAGTATAGCATACTAGCTTGGCGGCGACACAGATTATGGTGTAGATTCGTGTTGGCTGTCTCTGATTGACTATGAGGCGTACAAGAGACAGTGAAATATTTGCAGCAACGCCAAAAGCACCGAGACTTCGAAGAACAGCTTGCGGCCGCAGTAAAAACGGCAGCCAAGAGGATCTTTACCTACATGAAGTGACGCCTGAGACCTGCAGGCGATGTTGGTGTTGGAGGGTTCAGGTGGACAGCCCCAAACCGCGAGCAAGAGTCATGCGTGTGTATTGGCGGCGCACTTTCGTATTTGCAGATGATCAGGTGCCTGTACCGAGTTCGACAGGTACCGCCCCTACCGAACTCGACAGTGGATTGCAGCATTGAAGATGTACGTGAGCTACTGGCCGGTCTTGAATGAACTAAGCCTGTCGGGCCTGATGAAATCTACCCACTGAACCTAAATTTATTATCAGCCATAATCTCGCCTTCCGTGACTGAGCTGTCCAAAACGTCGCTATCTACTGGTTTGTTACCGAGCGACTGGAAATGCTCAGTCGTAAAGTCAATACTGAAAGGCAGTGACCCGAGGAAAGTGGACAGCTACCGACCGACAGTTGTTTTGGCTAAAACACTTGAGAAGATCATAAAAAGGGTATTCTACGGCTTCCTGAGTCGAAAAGCCTCTTGACGCCCGCACAACATGGTTTCGTGAAAGGTCGCTGATGAATCAGCAATCTGCACGTGACGAGACACGAATGGTTAAAAGCATCGAACCAGAGGTAGACGGTCATCATTTACATTGATCTCAGTAAAGTGTTGTACAAGTTAAGGCAGGAGGTCCTCCTCCACAGATTACTGCGCGGTGTTGGTGGCTCGCTGCACTAATGGATCGGGAATTTTCTTGCTGGTCGAAAGCAGGGTGTCTAGGTCGACAATCACGTCGACCAGAAGCGTGCCCTAAGATACTGTACCGGGGTCCAGTCTCTTCCTGATCCATATAAACGATGTGCCTCAGCTTCTACGTTCGCCATGTGCGTTGTTTGCAGAGGACCTGAAGCTGTCAAGAGTAATCAGTACGCCCGACGGTTGTGATCTGCCTTCGCGTGAACTTGATCGTTTCCCCATTTGGTCTGCAGAGGTGAACCTCTCGATAAACTCAGTCAAATCGCTGTTCAAGAGCATGGGTAAGGGTCGACACGGTCGAACCTACACTGTGGTCGG